TAAAATCCACAAGTAACACTTAATTAGCTAACATTTATTCCAAACAAGCACACATGCTCACATATGAATATATTCATTGTTCAGATAGTGTCTCAAAAATTCACAAAAATTAAATGTATGAAATATGATACATGAGGCATTAAGGGGTTAAACATAGTGAACATGTGTGACAGTATATCTAAGGCTTTTGTGAATATAAAGTTCAGGGTGGCTGTAGCTCAGGAAGTAGAGCAGGTCATCTACTAATCACGAAGGTTGGTGGTTTGATCCCTGGCTGCTCCAGTCTGCTTGCCATGAGGATTCTTGGGTGAGAAGAGTTGTTCCCAATGTGTTCATCGGAGAGTGAATGTTAGACAGGAAGCACTCAGGCTTTAGAAAAGTGTGCCATATAATGAACTAGTCTATTTCCCATATTCTTGATGGATTTTGGGAAGCATTTTAATAATAAATGTAAAAAAATAAACCTTTAGAGGCTGAGTTATCTGTTTTGACTTGAACTTTGACAACGGCACTGCCCAGTGGATGAGTGTATGAAAATTCAAATGAGCAGGTGCATTCAGATGGAGCAGTCTTTAACCCACCAGAGTCCATCCATTTGCATTGGAGCTAGTCGTCCTCCTACGTGCTGTACCCAGCAGCACCCTGACATAAACCAAACAGAGTGTACTCTCTGCTGTGTGAGAAAGGGCAACTTCAGGATGATGTCCTGACTTCATTCACCTGAACCTGAGTTCATGTGTAAAAATAACAACAGAGAGCAGGAAATTAAAACGCCTACAAACACATATTGCTGTTCATTTGATCATGCCTGTGTCAAAATATTTTTTAATAGCTTCATTCAAGTGTCTGATTTAATGTTGCACAAATCAAAAGAAAACAGACGGATTCTACTGTTGGAAAAAATGGCAGAGAGAGTTAAACCACTCTGCTGAGCTAAACCAGTTAGCTTTCAGGGGGACTGTTTTACACAGTGCTGCTTTAAAGCCTCTGGAGTAACATAGTTATATATAACAAAAAGTTATGGTTATAATTCAGTGTTGCCATGCCCTCACTCCAATTAATGAAATCTGCACAAGAACAGCACTTTAATGTGATTAGTAAAGCATGGGCTTCATGTCATGCTGAGGCCAATTTGAGCAACATATCTGTAACCGATGACATACACTAAAATACTACAGCACATCTCATCTCTTTGACACGTTTTAATAAACTTCATTCTTTAATGCAGAAGTATTCCTCTTAACATGAACAAGGGTTCAAATACCTCATTTTTATGCAGAGGAACGTTGCCCTGCCTCTCTTAATATATGAAAAGTATTTGTTGTCCTTTAACTTGCTGTATGTGTTTTATTACTTATCCAGTTTTAATGAGTAACAACATTTGCATCCTGCACTGGTTTAAGTCCATTTCCCATTGCAGTATTATGTTGTTGTCATGTTTGGGTGACATCAAATAATATCATGCTTACAACAAGTATGTTTGCTGTTTTTATGTAATGTTTGTTTTTTAATTCAATATTATTCAACTGTTTTAATCAAGAGTCCACTCTGTTTGGTTTAGGTGAGGGTGCTGCTGGGTACAGCACATAGGAGGCAGACTAGCTCAAATGCAAATGGATGGACTTTGGCGAGTTAAAGACTGTTCCATCTGAATGCACCTGCTCATTTGAATTTTCATACATTCATCCCTTGGGCAATGCCATTGTCGCAGTTTAAGTCTGGATGCTTGAAAATAGATAATCCAGTCTCTAAAGGCTTATTTTTTAAATTAAATTTTATTATTAAAACAACTCCCAAAATCCATCAACAACATGGAGAGAGTGGGGAATTTGGTAAATGGACAGGTATATTATATGGCACTCTTTTCTAAAGCCTGAATGCTTTCTGTCTAACATTCACTCTCCAGTGAACAATGAATATATTTATATATGAGCCTTGTTTGGAATAAATGCTAGCTAACTAAGAGTTGCTTGTGGATTTTATCTTCAAACATTTTAAGCTGTATTCTGCCAAATATCTTTTAAAATTCATTTTGTTTGTGCTGCTCAATTCCTGGACAAACAACGTGGACAAACAAATCCCCTTCAGCCTGACCTGAGCTGGGTCTGGCCTTTACACAAAATGCAGTTCAAAGACTCCAAAGAAAAGTTTTTTGTTTTGAGTTTGGGAACAGGATCGGTTGTGTTTAGATTCAGTTTCTTGTCACCTCGAGTAAATCAGAATCATTCACTCAACTTTCCTGGAGGTGGTCCCTCTTTTGTTGTGGATCTGATAATTGTTCCCCAAACAATGGAGGAAGGAGTGAGGTGTGTGTAAGGTGGGTGGAGAAGGATGGAGAGGAGGGATGGAGAGAGACTGAAGGGCTGGAGGAGAGGAAAGTGGAGCCAAGGAGGTGGAGCGAGATTAGGGTGAGAGGCAAGACTTTAGCCAGCTTCCTCTGTGGAAAGAAGGAAACAAGAAGAGCACAGAGGAACAACACAAGAAAGACAACTCTGGAATGAATCAACATGTTAAAATTGACTAATAACAATGAAAAATAACTAATATACGATTAAATTAGTGGGCAGTCTGTTACATTTTGAAAATGAGCACTTGGAATGGCTTAATACTGATTTATTAAATGATACAGCATATAAACAGCATATATTAAATATATACACAGCCCTCTGAATTCATTCAGCAAACATGAAACAACATGTTACAATGTAATTGGTGAGGGTTCTGTCCTGTTATGAATTAATGGACCTGGTGAAACCCATCTTTGCTATTTGGTATCAAAATAAAAAATACAAATCATAAATTAATAAAACAGCAAACAGTCTAAGTGTAGTTGTCTGTCTTCAGTGGGAAACAAAGGATTTAGAGCTGCAAGACAGAAAGACTAGCTTCTTTAGAGATGGAAAAATGTTGTTAGTTTCAGTGTTTTGATGCAATTTGTTGACAATAAGTGCAAAATGCTGTCTGTTCCATCCTTTAATTTCCCTTTCTGCAGAAATCCTGCATCTTTAAAGCATACAAGGGCTTGCCACTTCTGAGTGAAGGCATGCTGGCAGCTGAAATAATGTTAGGTCATGGCCAGTCATGCCCACTAAGTTTTCTGGCATCCTGGTTCTGATAGGTAACCTGCCAACATGAGTCATGAGTCATGAGCCAGCGTACTCCGAGTGCCAGTCCCACGCCCAACTGGGAGGGTTGTATTAAAAAAAAAAATCAAATTCTTTCCCTGATCAAATACGAGGATAATCAGGAAGAGTATAAGAGAAGGATAGTTGAAGTTGAACGGTTTTGAAGAGAGGCAAGGTTGCCGTGGTTTGGACATGGGGGAAGAGTGGATATATTGGACAAAATTCATGCAAGAGAAGTGAAGTGGATGGTGTGACAGAAGACGATGATAGGAACAGGGGGAGGTACATGATCTGCTGTGGGGACTCCTAAAGTGAGCAGCTGAAAGAAGAAGAGCTTGAAGGTCCTTGAGCAGATGGGAGAATAGCTCCTCCAAACATTTTCAAACTCTGAGCACTCTGAGCTGAGTTCTTAGTTCTTCAGCAAAAACCCAACAACATCACTTTTCCTTTATTTTTAAGCTGCTTTGTTTGACTGCCAAAGCAAGTCATCCTAACTTCATCTAACCTCGACCTTTGTGTTGTCTCAAAACTATGCATTGATGTGTGCTTTAGGACTAAACATCTCTACTTTGGTCTCGTCACTCCACAGGACATTATTCCAGAGGTCTAAGAAGTAGCTTTCTAATGGAAACCCTTCCAAACAAGTCATACTCTGTCTTTTTCTACTTTGAATCTCATGACTTTAATATTTCAAATTCTGACTGAGGACTATAAAGTATTGCAACAACGTTTTGGCAGCAAACTGCCAAAACTTCTGTTAATACAGGGGTTTTTACATTTGCTTATGATCAGTTAATCAAGTGTGTTTTGTTAGCTGCACTTACACTGCTGCTTACACTCTTAACTCCTTTGTAACAGTTTAAGGTTTTGCTTGGTTTTTCACAGAACTGCAAAGAGTCCTGTGAAAACAGTTGCAGCGTTAAGACGGATCAACTCAGCCTGGCAATAGAAAACTTAAGATATGGGTACGATAATAGAGTGGCATCTGCTTTTGCTGACTTTTTTGCAGGGTGTTGTCACTTCCTCTGTGCTCATGTCAAAAATCTTGTGACATTATTTGGCTGGGGGGGGTAAATGGTAGGGCTTAACAGAGTTGAAAGCAAATTGGAGGTATGCAAATACTGGAATTTTATAGTGGAGTTAAACAATATGCATAATAATACAGTAGCACTAAAATTTCAGTGGTTATTAAATTTCGTATAGATCTGACGTTCAGTTAAATTTAATTTTTTTAATTTCTTTCCAAATTAAAGAAATTTATTGAATTTATTTTTATATTTATCTTACAGTGAGAAAGTGTTTTTACTGATTGATGGCTTTAAAATGCATTTTGAGGTTTCCTGCAACTGAGAATCTTTGAAGTATGTTTGGAGGATTTGAAGGGCACCGCATTCAGAGAATCATCCGTGTATAGAGTGGTAGCCTTTGGAGGTGGAAAATGGAGCCCCCATATAGGAGCCCACAAGTGCGCTTCCTTGAAATTTGAGAAGGTTTTATCCAGTTTGAGGCTAGAATTTTTTTTTTTAAGTCAATGTTTTTTTTGCCAGGTAGCCCAGAAATTCAGCTCTTACTGTGGTGATTGCAAAGGCAGGAAAGGACTCTTGTTACTCATTATAAAAAACATGTAAAGCATGTTAAAGGACAACATAAAAACAGCTGGCTTTATGATTTACATATTAAAGGGCAAACTTATTTATCCAAAAGCATTTTAGATAAATAAACATAAGATCACTTTGCTCTTATGTTTTGAAGGATGTTAGTTAAAAAGTTTCAAACACACAGAAACCCGGATAAACTGATGTGGAACTCCTAAACTAATCATTATGTGAAACTGTATAAAACGGTCATTGATCTGAGTTGTCATGGAGTCTTTATTTGTGGGTTAAACATTTTTTAAGAGGAACAAGTTTCCACACAAAGTTTGATAAAGAACCTTGAAACTGAATAAGTTAAAAAAAAAATAGAAAAACATGTAGAACAAGTTAAAACCAAAGAAAACAGGTGAATGTATGTTTCACATATTGAAAGAGGAAGGATAAAGTCCTGTTTTGTAGTCAAAACAATTTGAATCCTTAATTTTCTCTTTGTCCCTTATGTTTTAAAAGACAATACAGAGTTTCAAACACACAGAAACATGTGAGAACAATGAAGAACAAACTTCTGAATTAACCATTATGTGAAACTGTCTGAAAGTTCATTGATTTGAGTTGCTGCGGAGTCGTTAAATAAGAAGCTGAAGTGACTGCTGTTACTCATTAAAACTGAACAAAACACGTACAGCAGGTGCATTCACATTTCACTTATTACATATTAAAAGAGGAAGGGTAAAGTCTTGAGTCTCTGTGTAAATGTTTGTTGATTTGTGGTGTTGTGGAGTTTCTATGATACCAGGAACATGTTTCTATTAAAGAATACATGCCGGGTTATTTCAATTTGGTGGCTGTGGCTGCCACTGAGGACAGATGGAGCTGTGCTGTAGTACAGTTCATGTCATCAGTTGCAGATATGTTATAGTTTAGAAGCTGATGCTGAACAGTTTGGCCTTACAGTTGACTTGAATGACAGTTCTGATCTATGCAGAGCCTAAAGTAATGTAATTAAACATATGAAGTGTCAAAACTGCTGTGCAAAAGCTCTATTCTTGGTACTTTGTTTTGCCAAAACATAAGAAAGAGGAGTAAAGATGATTCATTTAAATTACTGCACAAATGTTACAGTTTAAAGTTCCCATTTGAACCCACTTATTTGGAATTACCAAGCCTGAACCATTCAGATAAGACAGGATGGGTCTTTGCTGTCACGTTGTTTACTCCAAATTCTAGCCCAATCTTCTAAATGTTTTGGGATTCAGAAGATACGTTTTCCAACCTTCTGATGTCCAATTTTAAATCCGTGCAAACTGTTGCCTCCGATTCCTGTTCAGCTCACAGGAATGGAACTTGTTCAGGTTTTCTGCTGCTGTAGTCCATCTGCTTCAAGGTTCAATGTGATTTTTGTGCATACCCCTGTTGTAACAAGTGATTTACTGTTGCCTTCCTATCAGCCCAAAGCAGCCTGGCTATTCTTTTCTGACTTCTGGCAGCAACACGGTATTTTCACCCTGAGAACTGCTGCTGACTGGATATTTTCTCTCTTTTGGACCATTTTCTAGAAGCCCAAGAGATGGTGGTGCAGGAAAATCCCAGTAAATCAGCAATTACTGTTCAATTCAGTTTAATTTAAATAGGAGCCAACTCAAAGGTCTTTATGTTGTAAGGCAGAGAACCTACAATAGAAATTTCTGAAATACTCAGACCAGCTAGTCAACACACCAGATTCAAAGTCACTTTAATCACCTTTCTTCCCCGTTCTGAAGCTCAGTCTGAATGTCAGAAGACTGTCTTGACCATGTATACATGCTTAAATGCACTGAGTTGGTGTCTTATCACTGGATGATTAGATATTTGCATTAATGCACAATTGAACAGGTGTACCTAACAAAGTGGCCGGTGAGTGCATACCCAGTGGCTAATTGGTATTTGTGTCTGAGCAGTTTTTAATGTCATTTTCTGATAATATGTCCTGCTGGACTGAACCAAGGACTGAACCAAAAAATTGCAATCTAGCAACAAAAATCTTCATCTGAAATGTATATTTTCTGATCTTTATTTCTTAAACACATTCACATTCATATGACTGACAATAATGTTTATCTCAAAGGCACGGTGTTTCAAACGATGGAGGGGAAAAACGCTAAACTAGACCTTCATCGTGGTAAACTTTTCCCCCCTTTGCTTTTAAAAGGTAAAAAAAATTACACTCATTGTGTATTAGCTCCCCTTGTTCTGTAATGTGGAGAGAGAAGCTGCTATATTGCTGGAGATTCTACGGTTTCTCTCACAGTCTTTGAAGATGATGGAGACAGAAAACAGTACAACCATCTTGTCAGAATGGACTAAGGTCTTTTGTTTCACATTTTGTTGTTGGTGGTAGCGTTGGTGAAGACAGCTTCATTCATTTCTGTGTCCGAGTCTTAAAAGCGCGTTGAACAGATGATCTCAGGCAGAGACGTTTGGTCTTTAGCTGATTTCATGTCATCCTTCTGGGGTGGCTTGAAGGCACATGGCCACCTGAATCTGGAAGCAGATGAAAAGAGCTGCGTCAGTACGGCTGATCTTTGTGGCTTTTTTTTTTTTTTTGCCTTTTTTGTTTTATATGGAAAACACCAATATTTTCTACATATTGCTAGGTCCATATATATTTGGACACTGACAAGTTCTATTTTTTTACTGTTTTCTGAAACATGTTCCAAATATAGTTATATAATAGACATGGACATAATGTATAAACTCTCAGCTTTCATTTATGGGTATCCACATTCAAATTGGGTGAAGGGTTTAAGGGTTTCAGCTATTTAACAGGTGCTACCCTCTTTTTTAAAGGGACGAAAAGTAATTGGAGCCTTTGCTCAAAGGCTATTTCATTATGTCATTATCAATTAAGTAGATAAAACGCCCATCTGAGAAATTGCTAGAAAGACAGAAAGTGGTAAACAGTGGTGGATGATCGCAGGATTGTGTTAAAATGCTTTCGTTCCTCACATTTGCAATGCTTTGTTCAGCCCATTGAATTAAAAATGAAAGTCTGCACTTCATCTGCATCTGAGTTGTTTCATTTACAAACCTATTGTGGTAATGTACAGAACATTAGCGCTTCAAATATGCCCCTGAAAACAGAACACAACCCTCAGTAAGAGCAGTCATAAGGTTGGAAAGACTTACCTCTGAATTGCTTGCATCTGATCGATGGTGTCGGGAAGCGGCTCTCTAAAGGTCTCCGGAAGAAAAAAGCAGAGCACAACACTGACAAGTGAGAGAGAACCCACAAGCATCCACGGCAGGAACTCGTAGAACACAGCTGCGGACAAGACCAAAGCAGATTATACAAGATTAGTGAAGTCAGTCTTTGTCTGCTACAGACTGCATCACTAACCTGCAGGTCAGTTTACTAAGTTTAGAGACAGGTAGCTTTTTTTTTTTAAACTTATTTTCAACACACCAAGACTTCCCTTAAAGATAATCTGAACCCAAATATCTCACCCAGCTGCAGTAGGTATGGGGAAATAGAGGATCCCACTCTGGAGAGCATGGCACAGGATGACATCACTGTATTTCTGATGACTGTGGGAGAGAGCTCTCCAGTGAACATGTACAAAATGCCCGTGCCAACCAGAACGCCAAATTTACCCAGCAGCACCAGGAACAGGGTGAGAGCTGGATGGCCTGGAGGGAGGGGAAAGAGCGTAAGCTTTTGAGGATGGAAACAAATTATTTAGAAACACTAACCAATAGTCAAAGAGCCTTCCCTCTCTTAAATGCCAGGCCAGATTTTCTATATATGTTATTTTCCAACAGCAGCATGCAGGTTGCAAACATGTAAGGCATATTTTACACATATTTTATAAATGCCCATGCTATACTATTGTTTGATCTGTGATTTTTGTCTGTTTTTTGGGGGTTATCATGCATAATATAAAGCTTTTGAAGCTATAAATGACATGTTATTGTCGTGAAGTGAAAATCATAGTACACACACTTTTAGAAGGAGTACTAGGAGTATAAATGCACTATAACTTGGTCATTTTAGCCAGGTAGTTGGTGGTTGCTAGGCAAAATGTTGATGTCATAATATCTGATATAGATAAGCGCCTTTAAAGGCTTGCAGTGTACCTGTGTGTCAGTTTTGTGCATTATCTGATGAAGAGTGTTTTCGAGCACTACTGGCATATTGGCCCAGAGATGAACTTGTGACCTGTCCAGTCCTGCTTCTCACCAAAAAAGGCTCTTAAGAAAATCAAAGTTACTCTGGGGCTTGGCCAGACAAACAATTATGGGTTCAAAATATTTATTGTTTAGATGAATTAATGATTATGTTCACAAAGAGAGTGAGAAAAGTGCAACGGGGGAGTACTAGATTATAGTGGTCTCACTCACTGTGCAGAGTGACCTGGATGAGGAAGAGTGCTAGCGCCCCCAGCAGGGAGAAGCTGATAAAAGACAGGCGGCGGGAAAGCCTGCATGCACTTAGCCAGCTGACAGTGTATGCTGGTAGCTCAACAGCTGACAGCAAGAAGTAATTCAGGAAGGGGTTGCCATAGAGTGTAGACATATTGAATGACAACCCAGAATAGGTCACATGTGTAGAAAGCCTGCAAACAACAAGAGAACAAATTTTTTTTAAAAAAAAGAGAGAAATGAAATCCTGTTAGCATCACTGAGACGCTGTAATGTCGAATATATGAATAAACCAAAACGTCGGTGACGTAGAAACTTGTCCAGCTCACAATCTATCGCAATTCACAGGTTATGATTATTAAAACAGCAAATGTGATGTGAACCTCGACAACAATTTGCATGAAGACCCATTAGATCAGGGACGGCCACATACAGCCACATTGATCTGAACTGGGATGAACCAGGGAAGCACCTCTTTCGGTCAGTTCTGTACTGGTTCTGAAAAAACAGGAATTTCTCTATGTTTTGATTGTTATTGTTTACCTATTACTTAATTACTTGAGTGTTGTATGAATGACAACAGGGGGTGTCTCTTATCAGTAGAGAAAAATTGTAAAACTTAAAATACAGTTAAAAGTCCAAAATGTCTGCCATCATTCACATTTTATAAAGTCATCCAATGGGCCACATTGTAGTCTTTGCAGTGCCAATTCTGGCTCCGAGGCCTTATGTTTGACACCCCAGAATTAGATGTTCATTATATGTAAGTTTAGTTAAATTCTGAACAATTCTGTAGGAGGAGGAGTGAGTCTTGTGAATTCTTGAGGGGCAACTGGATGGATGATGGATGCTTCATTACAGGATGAGCAATAGCAGGGTCCGTCGGCTGGAATAGCTAAAACTGCAAAAAAATCAAGTTTTCATGAGAATGGCACTAAAGGAAAGGTCACTGACTGTTCAAAGGGTTCAAAATACATCCTGTCAGCATGTCCAAAGAGATGTTGGCGGCCACAGAAGTCACTAGTAATGTCCTCCCTAGTAACCTTTAAAACATGGATTACTTCCTTTTAATGTTCTTGCTCCGGAATAATGAAACTATCAATTATGCTATACTGTAGTTAGCAAGAAATCAGTTCCTGAGAGCACCTGCAGAGGAGAAGGTTCAACTCACCAGAGAAACCAAAGTATGAGTGTGACACTTCGAATGCTTTTGGCCTTTAGGAGGTCCAGGAAATTGAGGGTCTCAGCCTTCTTGCTATCAGACTGTTGAACCTAGTGACAGAGAAACGTCATTGCAGTGGCCACAATAGTTTACAGTGTGGATGTCACAAAGTTGATGTCAGAAGCCCTTACATTTGCAGAGAGGAAGATAACAGGAGGAGCTTCCACTCCGTTCTCCACAGCCGCTGACCTTAACAAGCGTTCTGCTTCTTGCAAACGGCCTTTAGACACTAGCCAGCGAGGAGACTCTGGAATCAGCCTGGTGGACAGACAGACACAAATCTAGATTGTCTGCAGTTCATCAGTCAAGTCATCACTTGGGTGAAAACACATCTACTTGAGTAGACGGAGACAGTGTTAATTATTCATTAAGTTGCTGTTGAAATATATAAGTTCAGAATTTATCTCAGAACAATAAGAACACCTGTAAAATTAGTGAAAATCTACTCCAAATAGGTGTAGATGGCATAGTCACGCTAAAGAAAGGTATAAAGTTTCACTTCAAACACGCATTTAGTGTTTGCTTAGTTGATCCACAGTAGAAATACAACATCCATGCTGAAAATAAATGAGCAGGAATGTGTGCTAGACGTCAGCAGGTTTGTCTTGAGTCTACAATCCTGTTTGCAGTATTCATGATCTGATCAGGATCTGAGCTGGGGCAATGAGGGTCCACTCCTTTGGTAGATAATGTGATCAGAAGGTCACATTCATTATAATATTTGCAGCCGAGTGTGAAGTGGCTGGGATGACTGAGACCATGCTTCAGTTCCATTTTGGTGGTTGTTTGTCTTCAAACTAACTATTGCTTTCTTTGGGTATTTCTCAGTCTAGAATACAAGTGATGGGAACATGGACTATGAGATGGACAAGTGCATTTGTGTGGGCTCACTTGTAAAATGTGTGTTATGTCAGGTCTTTGTAGTGAACACCTGAAGACTTTGGTTTACCAGTTTATCTATGTTTGCACCTTCAACTATGAAAACAAGTGTGACTGAAAGAATGGGTAAGAATGCAAACACACCAAACCCATTTTCTGAACTTTAAAGGGTTTAATGATCTCATACAGCAAAATCCAGTTTTGCTGAAATGAGCATCTAACATGGCCTTCTAGGCATGCCCAGCATGAAGGAGACCTAGAGAGATTACATATCTCTTTTGTCTCAGGTTCCCCCAACAAGGAAGCAAAAGGACATCTGGATAAGTGGAAGAAAGTGATGGATGGATGGATGGATGACGAACAGACACTATGCTACACATTTAGCTTAATGTTGGTTTTAAGCATCAGTGTTGGACAATCGTACATGTTTTCGGTTAGAAAGAAAAATCTCATGATAGGCAATGAAAATGACCTAAAATGCTTTTTACACTGAAGCGCATTTACACAAATCCCTCAACATTCTGTCTATCGCACACTCTCCATTAAGTCTAACTCTGAAAATGTCACCAGCAAAAAAATCTTGATAGTGTAGTGAGGTCATTTTACCACCAGAGGGGGAGGCTGGCCAGCCCAGGCACGGCCATTAACAGCGACAGGTGTTTCCAGTTTCTGAGCAAGTAGGCAGTAGCAGGAAGCAGCATCATACCAAATACATACATGAAAGGTAAACACATGCTGGAGTAGAGAACTCTAGATGAGCCAGCGAGGATCTCTGAACCTGTGGAGAAATTTCACAAGAGTGCAGAAGTTGTTTTTGTTTTTTGTTTTTGTTTTTGCCTGTCCCGTTTGGCTCTTTTACCATCAGAATTATTGTCTAAAGGCGAAGAAAGATGCCCAACGGATTTACTTTACCAAATGGACCATCCCAGTCTTGCTGTAATGGTCCATTTGATTCACCTTTTATTGTTTATTTTATTTTATTTTCACTTGCTAAATACGGGACAGATTTGACTGGGGAAAAGAAAGGGGAGAAAGAAAGAGGGAAAGAAAAACAGCGGGGAAGAGGGACGTGGATAAAGGGCAAAAAACAAAAACCAACAAAATAAGCAGACAAAAAATACATGTCACGGCGGGGTGCGCCGGTGTGAAGAATGAGGTAGACCCAAGATCAGACACGGTGGAGACAGAACTAGGTTTCCAAAATAAGGCAAGCCTTTATTGTGGCTGAAGGCATAACAAAAACACTAGGGAACACTGAAACTGGGAAAACTAAGAAGACAGAGAACACTGTGTAAACTAAAAAGGCTAAGACACTCTGTGAAGGAACTATGGAAAAACTATAAACACAGAGTAACTAAGCAGGCTATGAAACACAGTGTCACAATAAGGGAAACTACGAAAATACGAGATGAGGATAACAGACGAACTGACACAAAGACACACTGGGCTTAAATACACTGAGGAAGTCATCAAGGAATTAGAGACAGAAGGGGAACACAGCTGGGAGGAATAAGACCTAATGAGACAGGGGGAACAAAGCTAGAAACTCTGACATAAGACAGGAACATGAACCTTCAGAGTAAAACAGGAAACAGGACACCACTAAACAAAGACGCAGACACGACACAGAGAGACAGACTAGACACTAAACTAAACCTGCAATAAACATGAGAACACAAAAACCTACGAACTAATCCCTAAACAAGAATAACTGAAACATAGAGTCATAATCATCATTATCATCATAATAAGAAAAGAATCCAAAATGCAAAAACACACCAAAACATAACAACTCAAAATACTGGGTCAAACTGACCCAGAACTGTGACAATACATATATCAATCACCTGGATCACCTGTTGAAAAAGAAAAAAGAGAAAACAAGCAGAAGAAAAAAAAGAGCAACATAATAAACAACATCACGATGATCTATGTGAATATAACAGTAAATACTAAATATTAAACATTATTGTGCAGCACGTAAGATCGACAGCGCACAGTGTGCTTTGAGGTAGGAGCCAAAAAGGGTGTAGTTTTGTGTGTGAGCACCCGTGTGTACACCTGTGAGCATGAGCGCGCTTGTTTTAAAAGGTTCCTTCATGTAATGATCTGCTAGAGGGTGTGGGGGGGCCACAGCCCCGTCCCCCAGGGCATGAAGCAGGCATGGAGGAGATCCAGGCCCCAGACATCCAGAGGCCCCAGAGTGCGAGAGCCCAAGGAGGACCACCGGAGGGGCATCGTGCCACCCTCCTGGGAAGAGCTGAGGAACCCCAGATGAGGGGTCACCCAGTAGCCACCGAGCAGAAGCCAGGGGGCAGTTGTGCCAGAGTGACCGAGCCCCAGGCCGAGAGGCTGAGGGCACCCCACCCCCCGAAGGGGGCAGAAGTTGTTGATTAAAAGGTTTATTTTTCAATGAGATTTGATTAAGAAAGCAGCAGTACAGCATGCAGCCAGTGGAAAGTAGTATCCTGAAAACAAGAGAACACACTTACCCAATACAAACAGAACTATGTAGCTGGTGAGCTGACCCATGCCAACCATGAAGAAAAGCACAGTGAAGACGGCCCAGGACTGAGCAAATTTCAAAGCAAGGCTGAAGATACTAAGTGTGGCAATCGCACCAAAGAGAACAGGCTTCCTGCCAAACCTTTAGCACAAATACAACAAAAGCGCAATCAGCCACAACATGAGCACATATGTTCTTCTTTTTATATATTTATCTTTTTGTTTTTTTAAAAGGAATAAAGCATTAGCAGCTAGCATGACCACTATCCAAGAACGCAACATATTTTATTTAGTACAGTGTGAGCTAGCTCACAGCTAACTAGCAGACATGTTTAATGAAAAACATTGCATTTATGCTAACTTTAGAGACTTTAGAGACTATAACTTTAGAGAATTGTTGAACTGTAAATTTACCGGTCAGATAGCTGTCCAGAGAGGAAACAGCCACAAAGTCCTCCCAGAAAGTAGATGAGAGAGGTCAGTGGCTGTTTCCATCGGTTGCCACACACAAGGTTAAACTAGAAGACAAGGAAAACATATAGATATTCTGAAGCAGGCATAAAAACATAAAATATCAAACGCGTACACTGGAATATAAAGCAAACAGGCAAATGTAACCTGCAACTGGAAGGGGACTCAGCAAGCTCGCAGGCCACTGCTTGGTCTCACAGTTATACAGAGCACTACTTTCTGTCTTCCAGCTGTCCCTGTGCAGACTGTTAGCTTCATTAGCATCCATGTTGCTTTGTTTAGATGGGTTTGTAACATCAGTTTTTCTCTGTCCTGATTTTACTCCTCAGGCTGTTTGATTTCTTATTCCTGTCACTGTTTGTATGACCACAAGTGGCATAAGGTTAAGCTAACTTTAGAGGGTTTCCTCAAGCAAAAGCTTCTCATAAATCACTGTGTGGTAAAGGATTCGATGTTGCCTTTACTGACTCATCATCTACATCGCCTAGTTGCCCTGATCTATGTCTCCTGCCTGTTTTCTTGGCTGACTGTTTGCCCGATGTTTTGCTTTCAGGTAACTTTTATTGGCTGAAACTGTCTGTTTGAAGTCGTCTCTTTGGAACCATTATTTGTATCCTGACTTTGTTCAAATCACTGTGTGGGCTTAACACACCACAAAAATAAAATTCAAATATTGTAATTTACACGTAAATTTACTAAGCCATCCTATTTATTTATTTATGTATGTTTGCCTTTATTTATTTATTCTATGTTCCATCGATGGAGTTGCTCCTCCTATCCTATCTGCAGTCATTTGAGGCAAACCACCAACTGGCGGCTATTGTAACAAGCTCCAGCTGGTTTTACAAACAGAAGCTGGCCAAATCATTAAATCCAGTTATTATAGTTCTATATTTTCTAGTTCGTTTTCATGTTGATTTCATTTAGACTTTTCATAATTGTTTTTATTGTTTGTGCATTTTTAGTTTTAGGTAGTTTTTTCCCCCTTGGTTTCTGTCTCAGTTTTAGTCTTTTCAGTTATTATTGTATAGAGGGCATATGTAAAGGGCAAGATTTACAAAAATTATTACAAATGTTTCAATAAAAACAGAGAACTGTTTGAAAACAGTCTTGAAGACATCCAGAGTCTCAATAAACATGTCCATGACTACTGCATCAGGCAAGTTTGAAATAACAAACTAAGATAAAACTAAGATTTTTTTTTAATTTTAGTTCATTTTCCAAATTCACAAAATCGTTTCAGTTTTAATCTTTTCGT